GTTGTCAGTCACGACCTTCGCGACTTCTCATTACATCACATGACGCAGTCTGTGTTGTTTTGAGGGCATAGATACGCACTCGCGTGCTCGAATCGGAGCCGAAAAGTGCAACAAAACAAAGCTACCAAATAATTAATTTTCAACTACTGATTACATTAGAAGTAGTAAAAATTTGATTTCAACCTGGGTCTTGTCGGAATAGGACTTTTGTGATCCGAGGAATACCGAGGTTGGGGGTGGGAGATAAGGGATATACACAATACGATTTTGAGGTTTTTCGGTTATATTTCTGACGGAGTACGTGATTGCAAAAGACATAGTGAACGATATCCGAACTACTGACTTTGACGACTGTTCTGCCACCCGTCAGCACTAATATTTGGTGGCCGTTTCAAAAATGTCAAAGGTGACTAGTATCCTCGGCCACCATTACCTACGAAGTGAAGTTTGCATACACGAATCCTGTCCGAATCGAGACAGAGGAACCGGAAACAGGAAGATAGGAGGTGGATGTCGCAAGTAATGGTAATGAATGTTCAACCGCACAATCTGATTTTACATCACTCTTGGACTCATTTATACTTTTTATTGCTACATTATTAGAGGCTAACTTGCACGTAATTATTAGACACTAACTACCTGAGTACTTACTATTTGCACAATGACACCACTTCCGAACTTCAAGTTTTCTCTTTACTCCTTTATCCAAACGGGTAACCAGGAAACAGCGACCCACACTGCTGCATGAGCAATGGTTGTATAAACCGAAAGTGAGAACTCTCCAAACAGTAGGCATAACTGATCATAGTAATTCTCCCACAACAGTTAATGTTACTGAAAAAAAGATCACCGATGGGCCCAGACTTTCTTTCTTTGGTACTAGGGACGACTGACTGTGTACTGCTAGTCCGACTTAAGGTAAAAAGACAATGTGCTTTTTCACCCTGCTATCGATTTGGCTCTCGTAACTTCCTATCTAAAACAGCGTTCCTTTCAATGAATCGCTCAGAACGTTTTTATCACGGATATATTCTCTTAATTTGTCTCTAATCACATGTATGCGCCTAATATACCCAAACATTCAGCTGCAGAATTGAAATATTGTACCAGTTCAACGGTAGGATAAGCTCTCCATGCTTAACTATTTACAAAGACTAAAGCACCGTGCTTCAAGTCCGATAATTCTCTAATTCCTGGGTACTTGTTGGAGCTGAAGTAAAGCGATTGGATGCACTTCTCTCCGGGCGCGTACTGGGGACTGGCAACAGTAAGCGCGTGTGATCAGTTCAATTCTTACAACCATTAACTATCCACTTTCATGAACCGGTTTTGGTTGCTGTCTTTCGGTTGCCCATTTGGATAAAACAGCACAATATTGAGAGCAGATTCAAGCGGAAGATAACGCATTTACATAGACTGAAGTTACAAGAATAATGAGTAGATATGCATGAGCGCCACTGTTTGTAACACCCAGCCATATCGCTCAGCGTCACTAACCATCGGTGACCATGATCTCGGGGTCCCCAGTCAGAGAGCCTAACGGGACCCGTGTGAGCCAGTCTCCTGGTCAGGGTTTTCATATCCTCATGCCAGGTCTTAGTTTGACCACCCTTGACTTTTCTCCAACCGCTAACTGCCTCGGCAAACACCGCTCGCCGTGGCAACCTATCTGGTGACATGTGTAACACATGTCCCAACCAACGTAATCTACTTCCTCCAGCGGACGACAGCGATTACTTGAAACTCTACGCCTAACCTCAGCACTGTTGGTTCGGTTTCCTCACCAGGCACGTGCAATGCGACGTAGACAGCGGTGTTCGAACACCGATAATCTATTTTTATCCTGTTCCCGTAATGAACAAGTCTCTGTACCGTATAGCAGCACTGGTCGAACTGCTGCAGACTACACTCAATCCTAGACGGACAGCCGGGTGTCGCGACGGCAAAACATGTCTCAAGTTGGCAGATGCCAACGGAGCCTGTATGGAGCCAGTATGCGCGTCGACACTTCATCCGTGATGCGTCCGCCAGGTGAGATATAGCTGTCCAGATAGCAAAACGTGTCCACTTCCTCTACTACTTCTCCAAACAGGGTGGGACTGGGTGCTGGACCAACCCAATCTTGGAACAACATTTTACACTTTGAAGGTGCAAAACGCATGCCGAACATGGATACACTAGCACTCAAACTATCCAGAAAAGCTTGCAACTTACCAGGATCTTCAATTAGTAGCACAATGTCGTCTGCCTACTTCAAATCAGACAGTCTGCCACCTGGGAGTAAATCGATGCCACTATCCTCGTAGGAAGATAGGGCTGTTTCAAGAATTAAATCTAAGACAAAATTAAATAGAAACGGAGAGAGATTGCAACCCCGTCGAACACCACTTTCCTTGGTGAACTCGGGCGAAAAAGTGCCCGGACTCGGCTTCGGCTATTACTGTAGAGGGATTGTGATATTGAAATAAACTTCTCGGGCACACCCTTCAGGGAAAGGCAGTGCCAGAGTTTAGTGCAGTCAACCGAGTTGAAAGCTGCTTTATGTCGGGAAAGGTGGAAATTGTGGGTCCACGAAAGGAATGTCGATGCTCCAGAATTTGGCGGAGAGTGAAGATGTGGTCGATACAACCTCGACCAGGTCTAAAACCATCCTGGTTCTCACTTGTGCACTCTTCACGAGCGGCAGACAATCGTCGGAGTATGATGCCGGCGAGAAGATTAGAGTTAATGTTGATTAAACTAATTCCTCTGTAGTTTTCACAGGAGGACCTGACACCTTTCTTGTAAATCGGTATGATCACCGATTCACACCATTCATCTGGAATCCTTTCCCTGTTCGATATCGCGCCCAGGAGTTTCGTCAATTCCAAAACCAAGGCTGAACGTCTATCCTTAAAAACCGATGGGGACAGCCCATCGGGCTGGAAGCCTTATACCTTTTGAGATAACTTATTTCTCGGGCAACCTCCATTTAAAATTGAGGAGTGATGTAAACTGGAAGCACTTGCACAGTTGAGTCAGGTTATAGGGAGGTCATGCTCTGCCGAGGGTCAGCTGAACTGAGCCTTAAAATGTTCTGCCTATCGATCTACACGGCGTTGATGACGATAAATCATTGCGCCATTGGACTCCTTAATCACCTCACTTACGACTGCTTTCCTTGGACCTGTGCTACAAATTAATCGGAAGAGATTGCGACTATTACCGATAGCCACAACTTTCTACATCTCTCTACAATTTCCTTTCTCGCGGTCAATCCTCAGACTGATGATGAGCTGGCGCTCGTGATAAGGCATCGGGCTGCTCTATGGATGGAAGAAATTATGATATGAGCAGGATTTCAATGTTAATGTTGACAATGCCGCATGCGTTTGCCAGCGATCTGTCAGTTTTCTTGTCTAGTCGCCACAAATTTGTAACACTCCAGTCCTCAAATTCTGATTTGCATAAACCATTGACTGCAGGCTCGGATAGTTTATCTCCGGTGAAGGCCAAACTTGGAGCTACATCCCTAGCTCAGTATATTTAGATCTTGCGTTGTGACCGGTCACACTTCCCTTGAAACTCGCGAAATTAGGTTCCGTTCATACACCCATTATTCATGCACTTTCGTGGGGTTTCAGTTGCTGTCTTTTGGTTTGGATGAAGGAGTAGAGGGGAAATTGGAATGTAGAACACAATGTGAAGGTGAAACAGAGAATTCATGTAGAGTAATGTTGCAAGGATAGTGAGTGAAAGGACAAGCGCAACTGTTTAAGACATTCGGCCTTATCATTCTGTGACTCCAACTGTGGATAACGCTGATCCCAGGACGCCCATTCAGGAAGGCTTAAATCAGGTCTTGGTTTGATCACCGTTGACTTTTCCACCCATTGCTCGCATCGGTAAACATTGCACACCGTGGCAATCCATTTGGTGACATGCATAACCCATGCTCCCGGACGAACAGGCTTCTGGAATACCCTCTGCCGGGGAAGCCTTACTCAGGGCCTTCTATAGGTGGTGTTTCTTCATCAATGTACGGACAAGAAGTTAACGCTCAGGGCCACAACAAGGTGGGTGAACCATGGGTATTTTATTTAGGAGGGGGGGGGGTTGATTGGTTGAAAACCGTGATTCCAAACCAAACAAGAAGAAGTAGACGAAAAAACACCCAGATCCTCCTGATTCTGGCAGTAGTGACTGGCTTGATTGGGCACCTTGAACGTTTCACCCAGACCCTGAGCTTAAATCCAAATAAATGTTGAATATTATTTTTATTTTTCACGAGCTTCATTTTCAGAAAAATCTCACATTTATAAATGTTAGCTCTTCATCTATAGCTAACTATGCCACATAACGTGGAATCACTATGGACAACAATCAACAACATTCAATTCGATCGCGAATTTAAGAGAACTATATTAGATTTCATGCTTCTTTCCTTGTTCTCTTGCGTCCCACCGCATCCAGTGTTTTAGTTTCAATTAATGCACTTTCGCACCAGATGATGTTATTCTTCTCCCATTTAACATGACCACCAGGGTACGCATAGGATAACAGACGCGTTTAGCTAAAAGTCCGAGATCACAGAGAACGATGCGAGTAATTTCCTTTAGACATCGGACTCTAGCTTCATTATACGACTGTCATCAACACTCAAGCAGTACGCAAAGTTTTACTCACGCCTTTCTGGGTACTAAGGCTGCGGCTTTTGAATTTGCAGGCGTTGGTGTTGCTCTCAGTGAGGGAGTTGAAGCCACCTTGTTAGATTGGATTCCAGTCGACAGTCTGTGCCGAAATACAGTCAATCTCCTGCTGTGTCGCACCCCTCGGGAATTCAAAAAACTGGGTAAATTCCAAGAACTGCGACATAGCATGTTAGTCAGTAGTAGATGCTATTAAGAAGTATGCAAAATCGATTGGGAATTTTGGGAAAAAATAAATCAGATCGATCAAAAGTTCGTTAATTTCGTTGCTTGTTCCCATGTTTATAATAATGTACTGTTTATTCATAACGGAACTTAGATCTACCGTCCTGCGTATCCTTTATGTAAAGGAGAAATTAAGATCCTTTATGACGCCATCAGCTTAATGTCGGTAAATGGCATGCGGTATTCAGCGTTTTTTCAGTTCTAAGTGTCTAGTTATCCCGAAACTATCTTTCTTTCTTCTGGGGAATTTTTTCTGACCCACTTATCTCATATTAATTCCAAATATTCCTCCATTCCGTTGCAATAATAGGCTAACCACTGAATTCATTATGACATCCACCATAGAATGCAACTTTTTCAGCTACAATGAGCACATCATTATTAACTCACTCAAGGTAAAATAAAGGTGAACCAGTTCGAATAGTGTGACAGAAAATCGCACTCGAAAAAAATAACATCTAAAATGAGTGAAATATCTGTTACAGGGTGTTCTCAGAATATTGACTTCTTTCCCATAGTCAAACTGATTGTTCGCTGTGCTATCTATTCATGATTTTCTATGGTGAAAAATGTATACCAACGGCGTCTGTAGACATCTATTAGTTCGTTCGCTTTTACCAGTGTATGTTTAAACCGCCTGATGCGTTTGTCATGACCGTTGTTGCTCTGGATAAGTTCAACACGTGATGCCATGTGACTCATAAACTATAGAAAGGTATCTCACAAACTGCCCTTATATTCGGGTTACGATGACCTTTGGCAAGTGACCTATCTAATTTAATCGGTGCTTTAGGACAACTGAGAGTATCGTTCACTCATTCACACGGGCGCGTCCGCGCGACGGCGGTTATCGATCTTTCGGATCCGACATCTCGCTTAACACACCCGCTTACCAGTCGATCGCGATAATCGTTCACCCGTTTGCACGTTAGTGCGATAGAGCCCATCGATAAACCGAATGGCCGGGGATTTGGTGACCACTGTTGAAAAAGGACCACATTTGAGTGCCCCACAGTTCAGTTCAGTGTCCCACCGAATTGCAAAAAAAACTTTGCAGATTACAAATACGCATCTATAGCGAAATCATAAATCGTCGTTTGTTTCAGCTTGGTTCTCTTTTGGAAATCAACAAACGCACTGCTTAAATCAATAGTACACTTCAATCTGAGTATTAGCCAAGGCAAACAAACAGTTTCAGTAAAACAAACAGTTTCAAACAGTTTCCAATAACTTCTGCGCCTCTCTGATTGAGATAACTTACGGCGTATCCACCTCCTCACATTCATCTTCTTCATTGCGATGCTTAGCTTGATTCGAAACGAAATCATCGAATTAAGATGATCAATATTTGGATTAACCCATTCGGTTTTTCACAGGCACAATACACTGTTGACGACGATATTCAGTGTGGATTTCACTCCTTGGGAGATCGTTAACTTCCCACTATTTCAATGCATTTAAATGCGGTGGAAAAAATCGCCTGTTTGATGATGAAGTGGGTTATTTTCAAATTTTTGTAGCAAGTCCCCTTTTTAAGCATTAGATGATTTTTTAAATGCGGTGGAAATGTTTGTGATAGTCGACAAAGAGCACTGGACAGCTGTTTCGTCCTGTTTGGGACTCGTCAGCAGTGCGCACATTTTGTGTCCTTGTCAGGACTCGAACCGCGAACATTTGGGTCGAGACTTCAAACCCTTACCCCTGAGCTACACTTTAAGGGCCAGAATTTGGCGGAGAGTGCAGATGGGGTCGATATAACCTCGATCGGGTCTCAAACCAGCCTGGTTCTCACGCGTGCATCGTCCACCTGCGGCAGACAATCGTCGGAGTATGATGCTGGCGAGAAGTTTGGAGGCAATGTTGATTAGACTTATTCCTCTATGGTTTTCACAAGAGGATTTATCACCTTTCTTGTGAATCGGTATGATCACCGACTCACACCATTCAGCTGGAGCCTCTTCCCTTTCCCATATTGAACCAGAGACCAAGCAACAATCGGCTCAGCGAATGCCGGTTGTGGGGGTGCCGCCTCAGAAATTTCAACGTGAGCGCAGTGTGGCAAATTAGATGTGTTCATGGTCAAAACCGGTCATGTGGCTACTGCACCACTGGTAAAGCAAAGTACAGAAACCGGAGGCTGGTATGCCATCCACTGCCTGCCGAAAGTACGGGGAGCTGCTGTTAAGCTTCGTTCAATGACTCGAGTACGAGGGACCTTGCTGCGCCATAACACGTCTGCACAGAGGTCCCATGTCTTTCCGGCTAGAGGATACATCCAGGAGGTGGGTTACCCACCCTACAGTCCACAACTGGCTTTTTGACCCTTTTGTGTTCCCAAACGTCAAGCGCATGATGCGTGGAATCCCATACGAGTCACCAACAGCTGCAGTGGGGGCCTGCATTGAACTGGTCGAAGGGTTACGCGCTTCGGCATGGTCCAGCAATTTCACCAAATAGTTTGAGTACGTAGAACCGTGCATGAAAGGCGGTGGAGAATACTTCGAGAAAATATAATGCTTATTTTTGTGTAACAAATAAAACTTTTAGCGCGTCCGGAAACTTTTTGCCCAAACGTTTTCTTAAACTTTCACTGCTATGTGAATAAAGCTGCTGTTGATTTGACCTAGAAAAGTAAGTGAACAAATGATGATATACATTCAATTTATGATCTCAATTGCTGTAAAAAAAATCAAATGGACGTGCTGGCGTACTAACCGTCTTTAAGATGTGCTCGACTACCAACAGAAACTTGCTTACACTGTGCAAATGAATCATCTTATTTGGTCAACTTAAAACACATCAGTGGATCAATCGAGCATGACAGTAACAACCGAAAATGAGCACTTTACACAGACTCAATACTGAACGGAATTGAATAGCACACACGTATGCACATGACCTACCTCCAGGGTTCCACCAGCGTCCATCCACGGTCTGAACGGACAGCGAATCAGAGATAACCAAATTGTGGCTTTTAAGCCACAGACGATCTGGGGCTTTGCTAAGCAGAGTGCTGAAAACTAGCTCAGACACAGTTTGCTTCACATCCATCGGAAGTTGAGTACAGTTTCGGACAGGTTCTTTGAGTTCACGAGGCACGAACCCGTTTTTCCCTGTGGCTGCTTGTCGTTCTCGTTCAATCGTCTCCTGAACTGCAGCAAGTCGTTTAATTTGATCGTTTTGGGAAGTGAGCAATTTCCGACCAATGATACAGATCTGTGAACAACAGGAAGTTATAACATATGTGGATGTATGGACAGGTTGAATAGAAATATTTATTGCGAAGTGAGAAATTTTATGGATATGATCAATATTCAAGTAAGTCAATTTTGGTAACAGCTAGCTATTTGACCTTTCGGAAATGAATCTGATCCTGATAAGCAATTTACTGACTAAATAAACATTAGCGATATCTTGGATATAACTGCATAGAACCAATCAAAATTAAGTTCCAGTAATCGTAGCAAGTTATCGACCATATTATTTGATTTCCAAGATGGTTAGATCCATTCGTTATATTACCCTACTATAAGAAATTCTGAGGAAGGGGTTCATGGGTAATTGCAAGTTACTTGGGAGATTATGATGGAAAGATCCAAACTTATCGCTTACAAACCGATGAGTCATTCATAACGGCTAGTAACAGGTGATGAAGAGATAAAAGTGCGGATAATGACAATCAAAGATGCCAGTTATTGCCGTCAATTGAGAACTATACCAGATAACGACAAAGTGAATGTTACACTGGAGTTGTCCATCAAAGCGTTGGGCAATCGGCGACAGGAGCTCGATATTGACACTTACGAAGCAGCTATTTACGACATTCATCTATTTTTAACAGACCGTTTATTATTTATTTTTCAAGTCGAGTGTCATTACTAAACAACGACTGAGGACTTGTAAAATATAGGTCAGCGAGTGTATCAATGACCGACGGGTATTTTTCAACAATTTCTCTATACGTGAACTTTGCATCTCATTCTTTTCTTTTGTTTCAAGTTCTGCACCTCCTCCAACGTTTCTCAACTTCGTACTCGTTACAACGTCTAAGATCGTCCCACCAAGAGTATGGAAGACATGTCTGGGGTGCGGTACTCTCTGCTTATCAGGCCCTTTTGGACCGTGTTCAGTGTAAAGTCATTCGAGTTGTCCGTCTCCAAAACCTATTTATCCATTTTCATACGATCAAACCCCTGTCTGTATTTGGTCGTTATTATCACGAAGTTCATTACGCGGAGCCTTGGGATTCGGCCCCTCGTCCGCTTTCATTTGCTTACCAGACCCAATTGGAAGCGTTATGTCACCAGTATCAAATGACTATAAAATCTCTTCGACAGGCTGCGCTCAAATTATCTTTTTCCCAAGAATCGTGAAACTTTCTACTGTTGTCTTCCTAAAATCTTCGGTTCTCAAGCGCATAATGAATTTTTCTCAAATCCCCGCTGTTCACCCCTTCAATGTACTTCATGACTCTGTCGTGTGAAAAATATAGCACGCACAAATTTTGACCGATCGCGCAAGGAAGATTAAGAAATTTGTATTATTTATTTCCAAAAGAATCAATTATTGCACTAATTTACATCAAATAATCACATTGAAATACAGGTACGAGACCACTGCACCATGTTAGAAAATTAAACAGATACAAAAAAAGCACGAAAATACAGATAAAAATGTCATAGAGAACAGCTGAGTATGTGAACGTGATTAGTCCCAAGTGTACGCACCAGATCAGTGATTGGATCACCTGCAGATCTTAACAGATCAAACGACTAAATACAACGTGGATAATACAGCAATGGAGTATCCCGGTGCCTGATGAACAAGAGAACAACAAATGTGAATCTGTTCCACTGAACGGCTGATCAGCCTTTCACACGTACAGTTCACAAACTCGTCGTCTCTATGACCTTTTTTATCAATGATACATTCGCTACAAAGTACCCAAGTGAAAAGTGTAAACAACTTACGAAAAAGATGGACGTAAAACCGTGGTAAGAAGGGTTAAACATACTCGTTTTGTGGATGGGATTCGTAACACGTCCGTTTCGGGGATGAATCCACACGCGGTGAACAGGCCGCGCAAATACTGTATATAAACTCCGTAGCGATTGTGAACCGGTTTTATTGCATTTGAGCTCGACAAGGGACCGGATGAATCATCCTCAATGCCTGTATGGTGCATGAGGTTATTATATTTGCCAAAAAGTCCGAAGGGACAACAAGGCAAAGCAAACACGCAACACTTAGGATTGGATCGTGCAGCTAGGATTGGAAGCCATGGTGTAAGCTCATCACTGTGATTTCCGATAAACCAAGTTACGTCGGGAAAACCAGGTGACTGGTCTGGATCCAATGGCATTTCCTGGTGGGGTTTGCCGAACAGAAAGAGAAAAAAGGACAGAGTAGTCAAAGCGTTCGTGAAAATAGGGCTGTTCACCCCCACACTAGGATAACAAAAACGGGAATACACTGACAAAATAAATTCATCACAATTAATCCAGCTTGCCATATTTTGCAGTTGATTACTGTGAACCTTAGTGCTGTCCTTGGTGATTCGGTACAAACTTTTACCTACAATGCGCCGGAAATCGGTACTCCATTACCGCTCAAAAGGCCAGGTGTCAACCCCAGCGAAACAGAGCACTGCTGTTTTATCCGTTCAGTAATTGATCAAAATGTGAAAATCATTAAGCTGCTGTGGTTTGGTAACCAGTGATTCACATCTACCACTATCTACAACACATTTCAGGAGTCTGGTAGGAAAAACGGATAAGCAGTGTCGAGGTTAGACTTAACGTTTCAGATAATTGCGTTCCCGTACTAGAGCGAGTGCTTTACCTCTATAGATTACGGTGAATGAAGTGTGGTACGCGCGTAATCAAAATCGCTTTCTTGGCGCGCGACTTTTGTAGAAACTAGAAGGCAGAAAAAAGCTAAAGGTAGTAAGATTAAGATTTTGCATGAAAGTATGAGAACATTGAACAAGGCGCTCGGCTGCAGCAGATTTGTTTTGTTTAAGTGGGACCTCGAGAGTGATCTAGTTGACGGTTAAGGACAGTGATTGATACGCTGATCCTGGCAGGTTGTGACACCGTGCTTTTATTTCACTGTTTTCGCGATTGGGGTCTTTTGTTCTATCAGGATTACTGACTCCTGAGAGTTTCTTCGACGAACTACCGGTTTAGCCGCACAAGCAAAGTTTACTGTCAAAGGCATTGCTCGACTGATTTGATCCAGCTGTTGATCTACCCCACCATCTCGCGTTGTTTAATTTTCGAAGGTGAGCGAAGAGTCGAAGCATGAAGCGCATCGGAACTAATGCGTGATCAGACTCTGCAATTTTTTAGAGTCACGCCAACGGTAACTGGTAGATATGTGGTCAATTTAGATCAACTCACCGCTTCCTGATGTCCGAAGGAAGTAGCTCAAGGACAGAGCCGGTGCACTCAGATGGCTTATACTACTAGGAGCCCGTATTTGTGTCTTCGACACACAATAGACACGGATTTCCAAAGAGTCCAATGTACACGCAAGACACACTTGTTGACATACTTACATCAGAGTTCTCAGGTTGAGGGCCCCCAGATTCAGAGGTTGACAAGGCTTCAGAATAAGTAAATTATCAAATGGTAAACTACTTAAAGTGCTATTTGGCAACGACCTCTGGCGAGTGACGAACAAGCTCACTGATGAACTATCACGGCTCGGAAGAAGGTATATCGGGCATAGAAGACAAAAAGGTCAACATGCAGTCTCGCCACTTAATAGCTATACACCACGCTTTTCCATTTTGTCACCCAAGTATCGATTGCAACCCACGAGATTTTATTAATATCAACCACGAACAGGAAAATAGAGAGGAAAAAATTAGAAAAATGTTCTATCGAAACTTACCAGTAAATTCTTACGAACTGATTCAGGATAGGTCTCCCATATACGCCGACGACGAATATCGACACCAACACCACGGAACTAGATAAAACCAATAGGGGGCTTGATGTGGGCTTACTCCTTCTGTTATGAGTAGNAGGCCATTTCCGCAGCCCACATCCATGAAATACACATCGGAACAACCCTTCCACAGACACTGGAAGTATATCGTTAAATGACAAACCTGAGAAAGCATACCATCAAATAAGAAGCGATCCCAAGATCCTCATAGGTAAATTTGAGTGGATCAGTTCTTTCACACCAATTCTGTCAGACAGTAAAATATAATGATCACACCGGCATGGAATAAGAATCGGGTACCTGGATGATTCCATGCGCATACTTTTCTTTCAATCGCTCGTAAGTTTCGTGATATAAAATCACGTCCACAAGTCCGAGGGACATAGTCAATGGTTGGGTTTTTTGTAGCATCCAAGTTGTTAACTTCTTCTGAAGTACGGATAAGAACCAGTCCCTTGTAAAAAAATCGCCAGCCATTTCAATAACATCAACGATAATCTGATTTCTGAGGGAAAACAGCGAAATGCCTTGTCGAATCGGATTCACTTACTCTCGCAAACAAATAATGTAGGATCCGTGCTCAGAAGCGAATGTGCAACCAGTATCGCTCCAAACCAGTTTTTCGACGAAGGGGTTAATATGAGACCGCCTGATCGGCACAACCGTTCGCGAGGAAGGTGAGTTAGATGATTGATCTGGTAATTGGGCCGCGAATATTTTGGGGTGAACGACATGCGGTTTTTTAATCCAAATGGAGATGACGGACAAGAACAATGATGAATCCATCTGGAAATTGAGGAACAGAAGAAACGTTATTTCAGTAAATTGTTCGGATTTTTGAGTAAGATATTCGCGTCGAAATCGAATGTTAAAAGCTTCCGCTACTAATGTGATGCGAGCTGAAATTACGTACATGAAATGTGTTGAGAAAATGTCAAAGAACAATTTAGTCGACAGAACCATTATCTCCAGAGTGAACCTCTTTCGTGCAGTGTGATCATTTTGTTTTTGGGTCAGCACTAATTTCACTATCTTCATTTCTATCTAAGGTAGTAATTTTAAGCACAGTTCGTCTCAAACCATTATTATTATGATTTTTATAGCAATATTTTATGAGCCAGGTGCTTCTATTCTTAGCAAACTGGACGCTGGATGGATTTTTGTGGCTTTTATAATGAGTGGTAAGTTCCAATGAACACAATTCATACTTAGAAAATCATGGCAACAGTATCAATAAAGTGACTCGACAAGAGTGCTGTATATGTACATATAATTGGCAAGAGTAACCACGAAGCCAGTTATGCGCGTACAAGAACGTTTATCATTATCATTTATCAACTTGCCCACAGATTTTAACATATAGTGAAACCCAATGAAGTGAACTTTACTGCTCCTACTAAAATCACACTCCCTAAATTGTCAGTTCAGTTCAAGACGGGTCACAAATGTTAGCTGTTTCAATCCCTTTTTGGGTAACTTATACATGTCCAAAATGAGTCTTTTATCACACGCTACTGTACTATTAACAGCAGAAGGGGTAGAAGCCACAGCCACTTATAAAAACCAGAAAGCCAAGTCCCGAGACTTGGAGTGGCGAACCGCATTAAGGCCCCACTAGTACAGGCGTAGTATTGAGGCCGGTGACAGCGAAGCTACCTAACGCTCAAGTTGGGACACGGTTCGAACCTCTGAAATTAGGACCAAAAGCACGCTAATGCTGGTGACCTAAACTATTTGGTTCCCACCATCCAAGTAGCAGCTCAATCTTATATACCTCTGGTTAACCGTAAAATCCATCCACAGCAGTCATTTCGACTTAAAATCTCCGAGAGTGAGATTAAGTATAGTCATTCTGTAGTAAAAACTAAGGGGTTAGAGAAAAAATTATTTTTAATTACTATCATCTCTACAATCGTCTCGATAAACTTGGAAATTTAAATTCCACAACAAGGTTATTGTGACACAAGAACACATGTTCCGGGGCGAACAGTTGTTTTCACTTATGCACCTTCTAGTCTGTATAGATTACATAAGGAATTGAAATGTTAAAAGAAGGTAGAAATTCAGTCGCTTTCAGGTTGGTTAGGCGAAGGATGTGGGATGAGTGATCCGACGCATTTCACATCACAGGTCGCTACAACACTACAATCAGGTTGCAATACCTTATAGATGCGATCAACTTTCGACCAAGGCAGTTGAATCGCATAAATCATTTTCTTTGAGCACATATGTTGGGTGTCAACAAATGAATGTCGACCGTTTCCGAAGAGTTTAGGGTGAGGGGATGCGATTACTTGGATGGATGAATTGGTAGTCCTTACGACCAAAGGGCCTCAATTAGCTACTCACTATCTTCACATGTTTCCCCGCAAAAGTGAGAGGGCAAGGAACCAGCACTTATGGCTAAAATTTGGTACGTGAACCACTGGCAGCTTATCACTGAAGTTACGTTACGAATTATCGAACATAATTGGCAATACGCATTCAGGGGCGAAGTGTGGTAACAATTTTGTATGCTGTCGGCAAAGGCCATGCCAGTACACTGTCCCTGCTGCGATCGGACGATGAGGCTGAGAACTTGGTGACCGTGAGAACCGTCGTATAAGGCAAGCCGGGAAACAGTGACATCACCAGACATTCATGGACAATTTCCTGCTGCGATAGTACAATAAAGTGAATACTATCAACAAAGAGAGCTTAGTCAAACATTTTGATTCTGAGATCCGACTTGCACGTATATATCTAAAGCCCTCGTAACAGAAATCTAGGGGACCCCAGTTGCCTTCGATTGTATAAAAATAAAAATGAAAAAATAATCTTTATTGAATAAAGAAAATAGTATACGCAGGGATGAAATGCAGTTGAAGTTTGTGGTGCCAACGTGCACTGTAAAGGGAACAGTAAAATGGAGTGATATTAACAGAAAATAAATGTGGACGAAAATCTAAGCAAATCTACAACACTATATCAATCATTTTAATAAAGCAGAAAAACACGAACAAACATTAAAAAACGCTATGCAGCAATGAGTGACCATGGTTATTCAAAATATTATTCAGCAACAGAAAAGCATGGTTACCAAAATAGTTTGATAAGCATCACCTGCATCTATTCAATGAATAACAATTCACCACAGAAAAACGCTGATTTATATTACAGTAGCACTCGGGGAGGAGAGTCACTGATCATTATACAACTCTCGCCCCGTGGGGCGAACCGTCCGAAAAAGAAAAACGTATAATCGTTGAGCCTAAACGTTCTCTTGGACCTTGATGAGAAATAGCAAAGCACTACTGTTTTGTTTTACTTTTCATCCAATGTTCCTCTCAGTTCCAGACGCACATTCTGAAGATAAGGTTCCGCTGGTTGGTGTAGCTTTTGTGGCTGTTTGGCTTTCTACCCCTGAAATAACTTGTTTCTCCGCCGACGTCTTCATCTTGGCGTTGAAATTTTCCGAAGATTCTTTGTAAGACGTAAACATACTAATTCGTCATTTCGTTACACCCGGCTGACCTCTTTCTTGTGAATGGTTAAATCACGAGTGTCTCACTGTTCTTAAAAAGAAATCAGCGTTCCGTCGCTGGCGTCGTTCATGTTCCCCCTATCCCGCCAGTGGTTGTTGCTAGCACGTAACAAGTGTACAACCATCATACAGAAGGTTAAGGAGCACAGTTAGCAACCGCTCCTTCTGGAAGACGGACGTTCTGGTCAGTTGCTAAGGTAGTCTGCTGGAACTTCTGTTTCATCAGCTTTCCACCCACTGTTAAACCATCTGGTGACCAAGTGTGCAACCCGCTTGGAAAAGCCGAAGTATTCGTTTGTTATTTTGCTTCCAATTCTACAGTACTCCAATCATCCATCCAAACACTCTACAGCGAACCATCTTTTCACAACATCCATCTCCATCAGAAAGATACGTCAGATACTCTTACCACTGGACCCAAATGGATTCCTCCCATCGTCCTCAATATGTGCGCGCCAGAAATGTACCCTCCCTCCTCCTATGCCGCCTGTTCTCTCTATCCATCGATCCCGAGGTATTCCCAACCCCATGGAAAATAACAGAAATGTTTTCCATCTCGAAACGCAGCGACCACTCAGACCCGAATAAATACCACCCCATTGCTCTCACATTAGCTATTTTGAAGTTTATCTAATCAGTCATTGCTGATCAGCTCTGCCACCTACTGAAACAGAACAAGATGCTCAGCGGCCATCAGTACGGGTTGCGGTCTCGTGGATCTACCGGTGATCCTCTGCCGCTCATTTCGCATACACGGTCAGCAGCACTCAACAACCAAGGAGAAAATCAGATAGCGCCATTGAGCATATCGTATCTTGCACGCAGGTGTGCTGGTCAACCTACCCAAGTTAGGCTTTCCTTCGGAACCTTTATCCTGGATCGCACCATCTCCGTTCAAGTGGATGGGACCATATTTCGTGAATGTTGGTGTCACCCAAGGTTCTGTACTTTCCCCATCACTTTGTCTGATGTTTAATCGACGACCTTTCTTCAACTTCAAACCCTATTCATGCCTTTGCTGATGACGCAACCCTACACTCTTCTTTGTCCTGTCCGTCTTCACGCACTGCCAACTGCAGCATTAGAGGTGACCGCTCCTTCCTCAGTTTCACCCCAAATTCTGAGCTGAGCTTCATTTCTGCTTGGGGCTGTGGCAACCGTGTTCTCTTGTATGTCAGCAAAACTTCCCTTGTGTCTATTTCTCTTAAATATGAATTTTTCCCCTCTCGTAGAATTTTAACCCAAACTTGAACGCTCCCCGTTCCACAGATTCATACATACTATTAGGATTATCCTCATTTTCTTTTCTTGGATATGAATCTAATCCCTGTGTCGAGTCAACTATTAATGGTACTTTCCCTCAACCTATTAAAAAGATATAAGAGCAGAGGGGAGCAAGCTACTTTACTCGCTGGTTAGCAATCGCATGTTTATCACCTAATAAATCATTTTCGCATATACAGAAAGTCAATTGTTGTAGTGCATTTTGGGGTTCACGATATCCTTTTGTGTACTGACCGGACTGCGTTTGTTACCGGCATCCTTGGGAAGCACTTCTTACCTCTCGGTCCGTAAGCAATGAACTGTCTACAAACAGCACAGCTGAGTGCTACCGAGCACGTCTTCAGGTCGCGGATAGGAGAACAGCCATCTTGGTGGTTAACCGTGAATAGATGGGGCCACCTCACCGAATAATCAGTCGCGGACGATCAGCAGCGATGCTAGAGGACGTGGTGGGGTTTTCGGTTGGCAACCGATATCCCGTTCAAATGCCACGAGTGTCTGCAGACAGCATCGCAACGTGTAAAAATGTGGCCCGCGAGTAGGACAAACTCTGAGGAATGCTACCTCACAGACACGTTGGGAATCCTGGGCCGGCGAAGAGCTATCCGAAAGATGTATGAACCGTTCTGACGGCCACTGGATACCAACACACACTTGGTTGTGCAAGGGT